TCAATCTCTCGCCCTGTCTCTTCCTCTCTGAAATCAATAAAAATATATTTTTAAAAGTAATTAAAAAATAAGTGTTTACTGAATGTACGGATGAGTGAAAGGATGAATGAATGAATGAGGCCAAGTACAAGTCATCTGGGGGGAAGGCGGGCCATCCAGCTGGGCTGGAGAAGAGCTACTTTTAGAGAAGGTAACGCTGAGGAAGGGAGACTGAAGCCAGGCCACAGAGGACCTCAATGAAAAATGTGGACTTTGCACAGGCCACATCACACAATCCCAGGGCGGGGACGGGCTGGCCCGGCGGCAGAGCGGCTCCCATAGGCCCTGTGTGGCCCCCCATCTCTGTTGTGGTCGCCACACCCAGTCAGACTCCACCTAGCACCCTAACCAGCACCACAGCACCCAAGGTCATGCCCCAGACACCACCGCCCTCCTGGCTCCTGGGCCAAGCTGCCAGCACAGCATTTCTGCCCAGCCTGTAATTTACATATGACCTCCTCCCTGGCTTGACCACTCTTGGCCCTCTACACACACACCCGCTGCGGAAGCTGCCGGAATAGGAGAAAAGGTCTGGTGTCCACCCCCCGCCCTCCTGGCTCCTGGGCCAAGCTGCCAGCACAGCATTTCTGCCCAGTCTGTAATTTACATATGACCTCCTCCCTGGCCTGACCACTCTTGGCCCTCTACACACACACACCCGCTGCGGGAGCTGCCGGAATAGGAGAAAAGGTCTGGTGTCCACCCCAACCCTGGCACCTGGGCTGCAGAGAGGGGGTTGAAGTCCCTAGAGGGAGGCTGAGGCTGGGCACAGCCTGTGTCACCATACTTGGCTCCATGGCCTAGGATTAGGCAGACAGCGCCCTCTTGTGGCCAGGATCCACCCTGCACCTTGGTCTTTTTGGACAGTAAAAATTTGCCTTTCATTTTTCAATTTTTATTTATTTTTTACAAATATTTTTTATTGATTTAAGAGAGTAAGAGAGAGATAGAAACATCAATGATAAGAGATAACCACTGATCGGCTGCCTCTTGTACGCCCCTCACTGGGGATCGAGCCCGCAACCTGGGTATGTGCAACCCAGGCATATGCCAAGACCACGAATTGAACCGTGACCCAACCTCCTGGTTTATAGGTCGATGCTTAAACACTGAGCCAAGCCAGCCCAGCTAATTTTTTTTTACTTTTTAAAAAAAGAAAATATCGGCTTAGCCGGCATGGCTCAGTGGTTGAGCGTTGACTTCTGAACCTGGAGGTCACAGGTTCGATTCCTGGTCAGGGCATATGTCTGGGTTGTGGGCTCGATCCCCAGTAGGGGGCGTGCAAGAGGCAGCCGATCAATGATTCTCTCTCCTGATATTTCAATCTCTCGCCCTGTCTCTTCCTCTCTGAAATCAATAAAAATATATTTTTAAAAGTAATTAAAAAATAAGTGTTTACTGAATGTACGGATGAGTGAAAGGATGAATGAATGAATGAGGCCAAGTACAAGTCATCTGGGGGGAAGGCGGGCCATCCAGCTGGGCTGGAGAAGAGCTACTTTTAGAGAAGGTAACGCTGAGGAAGGGAGACTGAAGCCAGGCCACAGAGGACCTCAATGAAAAATGTGGACTTTGCACAGGCCACATCACACAATCCCAGGGCGGGGACGGGCTGGCCCGGCGGCAGAGCGGCTCCCATAGGCCCTGTGTGGCCCCCCATCTCTGTTGTGGTCGCCACACCCAGTCAGACTCCACCTAGCACCCTAACCAGCACCACAGCACCCAAGGTCATGCCCCAGACACCACCGCCCTCCTGGCTCCTGGGCCAAGCTGCCAGCACAGCATTTCTGCCCAGCCTGTAATTTACATATGACCTCCTCCCTGGCTTGACCACTCTTGGCCCTCTACACACACACACCCGCTGCGGGAGCTGCCGGAATAGGAGAAAAGGTCTGGTGTCCACCCCAACCAGCGGCAGAGTAAACTAAACATGCATGTGCTGAGGGCAAGAATCAGGGTGGTGGAAGGCTGACAAGCAGGATACTTGCGCAAAGAGAGCTTGAGAGGAGTCTGGGAGCATGCCAGACCCACGGACCGAGGCCTTCGGGGGCTGGAGTGATGTCAAGGAGGAAGCCAGCATCTACCCATCTTTGGAGACACAGCCATTATTCCCCCACAGCACGGAGGCCCACCTGGACCACCTCTGAGTCTTGCGCCCTTGCCAAAGACCCCACAGGCCTTCCACCTTCCTTCTGCCCACCACCAGGCTGCCCGTGATCAAACAGGAACCACACGATCAAACACTACCAGGGCCCTAGCTGGTTTGGCTCAGTGGATAGAGCATTGGACTTCGGAGTGAAGGGTCCCGGGTTCGATTCTGGGCAGGGCACATGCCCGGGCTGCAGGCTCGATCCCCAGTAGGGGGCATGCAGGAGGAAGCTGATCCATGATTCTCTCTCATCATTGATATTTCTTTCTTTTTTTAAAATATATTTTATTGATTTTTTACAGAGAGGAAGGGAGAAGGAGAAGGATAGAGAGTTAGAAACATCGATGAGAGAGAAACATCGATTCAGCTGCTTCTGCACACTCCCTACTGGGGATGTGCCCGCAACCAAGGTACAAGCCCCTGACCGGAATCGAACCTGGGACCCTTCAGTCCGAAGGCCGACGCTCTATCCACTGAGCCAAACTTGTCAGGGCTCATTATTGATATTTCTATGTCTCTCTCCCTCTCCCTTCCTCTCTGAAATCAACAAAAACCCTATGTAATAAAACCCTAATATGCAAATCGACCGAACAGTGGAATGACCAGTCGCTATGGTGCACTGACCACCAGGGAGTAGATGCTCAATGCAGGAGCTGCCCCTGGAGATCAGTGCGCTCCCACAGGGGGAGCGCTGCTCAGCCAGAAGCTGGGCTCACAGCTGGCGAGTGCAGCGGTGGTGACGGAGTCTCTTCGGCATCCATGGCAGCGCTAAGGACCCCTTGCGGGGAGTGGGCCTAAGCCGGCAGTCGGACATCCCCTGAGGGGTCTGGGACTGCGAGAGGGCTCAGGCCGGGCTGAGAAACCCTCCCCCCCGCCAGTGCACGAATTTCATGCAACAGGCCTCTAGTATATGTACATATATATACACAACACACAAACAACAAACATTACCAGGGATATAGGGCCCACTTGTACACCTCTCACTGCCCCTAAGGCTGTACATGGGGGCATCCAGGTACCCCTTGCCAGCACAACCTTGGTTGAGGTACTACTGGTTATGCCTCTGTCCTGGCCCTGCCTGCATATCAGAAGGGAGCAGACCAAGTCCTTCAGATCTACAGAGTGGGGAAGGCTCCCAACTCCAGAAGCCAGGAATTCTCCCAGTCACTGCAGAGAACACTTGGGCAGGGTTGGCGCAGACGTGCCCACGGATGGGGCCGCAGCACACACACGTGCCAGCCGTCCACTCTGACTGTGACTAGCCTGGAAGTCAGTCCCGGTCGGTCCCGGGGTGCAGCTCAGAGGGCACGGATGCTGAGCTGCAGGACCAGAGCCGTGTGGCTGGAGGGCAGGAGGAGTCAGCTGTCTTTAACCACATCTCAGACAAGGAAGGTCATTAGGGAGGAATGTTGGGCGTGGGGATGCGGAATTCCTCTGGGCCTGTCTATGCTCCGCTAGCGATTATTCAAAAGACAAACAGAGGCCAGTTTACTCACGGACGGTGGGATATGAGGGGACCAGGAAGGTGCTCGGTGAGAAAGCAATTCATCTGAAGACAAGCAGATGCACCACACAGCTGGAAACATTAGGACATCAGGTGAAGAAACGATAGGGGCAGAAATAGAATATTGGGGACCAGCGAGAATTGTAAGAAATACGAATCATGCTCTGTTAACCGTGATTGTTTTGTTCTGACGAAAGAAGGCACCTTCTAACCTGGCTGCGAGTTGCATGCGGGACCGGGGGGCTCACCTGGAAACGCAGCCCATCCTCCCCGTCCAGGAGCTGCCTATCATCAGGGAAAGATTAATCACCTTGTTGCAGAAACCAGAGCCGCCAGCCCTTTGAAGACCCCCAGCCTTTGCACCCACAGGCCTTTGACAATCTCCAGCCCCAGTGACCTGTACGCTGCCCATTTGGCATTCCCTTCCCCATGTAATCTTTGTCCTTCTACCCAATATAAGCAGCTGGCTTAAGGTGAGGGGTAGAGCAGATGTTTGTGGACGGCCTGCTGCTCTCCCATACGGCGGCATTATTGGAATAAACGCTCACAGATGATTCAACCCGGTCTCTGTTTAACTGGCTCAGGTAGTGACAGGCAGCCCCTGTTGTCCAGTTACAGAAAGACCAAGCCGCCTTCTTACCAGCCCATTTCCAACTCCTGGGGTCATCTCTGCATTTGGATTCCCCCAGGACTTCGAACCCCTCAGAGGCAGCCCCCTCTCATGACCATAGATTAGGGCAGTGGTTGGCAAACCGGGGCTCGTGAGCCACATGCGGCTTTTTGGCCCCTTGAGTGTGGCTCTTCCACATAATACCACGTGTGGGCAAGCACATACATTGCGATTGAAACTTCATGGCCCATGCACAGAAGTTGGTTTTCGGCCTGGGCGAGTCTATTTTGAAGAAGTGGCGTTAGAAGAAGTGGGGGGTGCAGGCGGGGCTCAGGATACGCAGCGCGGGGGAGGCGCGCGCGATTCATGCACGAGTTGAGTGAGCCAGTCAGTCAGCAGTCTCATGTGCAGTGGTTAGTGCTAGTCACGTCCGAAAATCGCGCGCACATGACAAAAGATAGACGAAACAAGTATACAAGACGAGAGTGGATGGGAGAGTTGGAAGGGGTCGACCTCAGCGAACGTATCTCAATCAGATTGAGGACATTTTTAGCAAAGGCCAGCTTAGGAGCACCCTAATGAAGTTAATAACCATGTACCTACCTATATAGCTTAAGTTTAAAAAATTTGGCTCTCAAAAGAAATTTCAATCGTTGTACTGTTGATATTTGGCTCTGTTGACTAATGCGTTTGCCGACCACTGGGTTAGGGTCACCCTGGGCAGGGCACACCCACTGTTTCTAGAACGGGCTTGGCTCACGGCCAGGTCACTGGGAGAGATCTGCCCTTAGGGATGACCTCAGCGTTTGGACCTGGACCTGCTTGGACTTGGCTCCTCACTAAATGACCCAGGTAGGCTCTGTGATCTGGCTTCTGAACAGAACCTCTTGGCTGCTGAGCTTTGGGGGGAGGGGGTGAGAGAGGGATATTATTTGCTTCTAGGTAACAGAAACCCTGCGGGAATCTGGCTTAGCCAGCGAGGAAGCCCCAGGGGAGGGTGGGCTTTCAGGTCTGTGGCTATGGCATCCCGATGGGGACATAAAGTGTCCTTCAGGGACTGTGCCATTTTTCCCTTCACGCACGAGGCCGCCAGCTTCCCCACAGTCTCACCAACAGAACGTGCTGTCAGACATTTGGATTTTTGCCAATCTGATAGGTGCCAAGCGGCATCGCCGTGTTATTTCCATTTTAATTGCTCTTCTTGTGAGAGAAGTTGAGCATTTTTCCGTCTGCTTAAGGGCTACCAGTGTTTCCTTTTCTGAGAAATCTCTCTACCGACATGGCTCACTTGCCATCTGGGTTGCTGGTCTTGGGTGCAGGTTCTGTCTGTCTGTCTCTCTGCTGGTGGTGGAACCCAGGTGACAGCCGCCTTCCCGGACACTGAGAGGCGGAGGAGTCAGGAGGGCTGCGTTCTGTCTGTGGCTAATCTCACCCCAGTTCCCAACCCCAGGCTCCCTTTCCTGCTTCTTCTATAGACAAGAAGAGCTGCCCTAGCCCGTCTGGCTCAGTGGATAGAGCGTCGGCCTACGGACTGAAGGGTCCTGGGTTTGATTCTGATCAAAGGCATGTACCTCAGTCCCAGGCTCCTCCCTGGCCCCGGGCCCTAGTTGGGGCATGTGCAGGAGGCAACCAATCAATGTGTTTCAATCACATCAATATTTCTCTCTGTCTTTCCCTCTCTCTTCCACTCTCTCTAAAAATCCATGGAAAAATATCCGTGGGCGAGGACTGAAAAAAAAAAAGAAGAGCTAAAAACTCATGTTCCACCCGGCCAGTGTGACTCAGCGATTGGGCGTTGACCCATGAACCAGGTCAGGGTTCAATAGAAGAGCTAAGAACTCATGTTCCACCCAGCCAGTGTGACTCAGTGATTGGGCGTTGACCCATGAACCAGGTCAGGGTTCAATTCCCGGTCAGGGCACATGCCCGGGTTGTGGGCTCCATCCCCAGTAGGAGGTGAGCAGGAGGCAGCTGATGAATGATTCTCTGATCATTGATGTTTCTCCCTTTCTCTCTCTGAAATCAATAAAAATATATTTAAAAAAACACCTCACGTTCCTAATCTGCCTTACCTCTCGGGGTGGCCACGTGACACCGGCCTGCTCGGTGAGATGAAAGTGGAAGGGTGCTCGGGAATTTCTGGGGAACCTCTGGTTAGAAAAGGGACCAGGGTCACTGGCATAGCCCCTTTCTTCCTGCCTCACACTGGATGGAATGGCTGCCTTCTTGACACCATAAAGGAAAGACAGAGAGAACCAAAGACATGTTGATCCTAATACCATTCCAGCCACCAAACCAAGGCCAGGAACCGCCTCCCTCCTGACTTGTGCACCGAGCTCATTAAATATCTTCACTCTTAAACCACCGCTTGTGCCCTGGCTGGTCTGGCTCAGTGGATAGAGTGTCAGTCTGGGGACTGAAGGGTCCCGGGTTCGATTCTGGTCGGGGGCACATGCCCAGGTTGCAGGCTCGGTGCAGCCAATCAATAATTCTCTCTCGTAATTGATGTGTCTCTCTCTCTTTCTCTCTCTCCCCCTTCCTCTCTGAAGTCAATAAAAATATATTTAAAAAACAAACAAACAAAAAACCCCACCGCTTGTTAGGGTGTGTGTGAGACGGGCGGGGGTGTCCTGCTACTTGCTGATAAAAACAGTCCTAATTGATAGTACGTGGTTGTCTTTTAGGAGGGAGAAAACTTGTCCCGGAAGTCACCCCTTCGTCTCCCTGGACTTCTCAGAATATTGGCTACTATTGCTTCACATGCCCTTTCCTGAACCAAGTGCCTTCAGGGGAATAGGTTCCCCTTGGGCCAATGAGGTGACACCTGGGGTGTGGGGGTCAACTTCCCCTGAGGCAGATGGGCACAAGGAAGAGAGGAGGGTCCAGCCGGTGTGGCTCAGTGGTTGAGCACCGACCTATGAACCAGGAGGTCACGGTTTGATTCCCAGTCAAGGGCACATGCCCAGGTTGTGGGCTTGATGCCCAGTGTGGGGCGTGTGGGGAGGCAGCTGATCCATGATTCTCTCTCATCATTGATTGTGTGGGGAGGCAGCTGTTCCATGATTCTCTCTCATCATTGATGTTTCTATCTCTCTCTCCCTTTCTCTCTAAAAAATCAATAAAGGGGAAAAAATACATGAAGAGACTACACTTGCTTATACACTCCACAAAGGCAGGGGTATCCCTGATCCCCAGGAATTGATGGAAAATGTTGGCCAGGACAGAGCCCTTCGACATCAACCCGGAGGCCTGCCTGCACCTTGGCATGAGTCCCCTGAGTTGGGGGCTACGGTAATTCAATAGGCTGCCCTCGGACCTAATTGCACTGGTACCTGCTCTATATTTCCCCGTCGAGACCACAAGAAACCTGTGTCCCCCTAGCTGGTTTGGCTCAGTGGATAGATCATCGGCCTGCAGACTGAAGGGTCCTGGATTCGATTCCAGTCAAGGGCACATGCCTGGGTTTCGGGCTCGATCCCCAGTGTGGGGCGTGCAGGAGGCAGCCAATCCATGATTCCCTCTCATCATTGATGTTTCTATCTCTCTCCCTCTCCCTTCCTCTCTGAAATCAATAAAAATATTTTTTTAAAAAATTAAAAAGACACCAGTGTAGCGAAGATCACGAGGTGGGCGTGGCGCTGGGCTGTTGAGCCCATTTTGGTTCCCAGGCATCACCCCTTCCTTTTCCGGGGCCGCCCACAACACCCCTCACCTCTCGCTCAGCCCTCTGGCTCAGCGTCCGGAAGTCTCTGCTTTCTTCTCTTTCCAAAGCAGGGGCGGCCTTCTGACCCTCGCCAACCTTCCCTCTCATTTTCCATTTGTAATTCTGCAAAGGCCGCTGGCTTGATTCAGCATCCTCCTCAGCGGCCAGGGTATAATTAGTCCAGGCCAAGGGACCTGACTTCACATAGCCAGGAGCTCACTGTCAAACCCTGCCACCCACCCACCCAGGACTCGGTAAGCGCTAGCTCCTTCCTGGTGATGCTCACGCGCCAGCCAGGTCTGAACGGCAAAGCCCCATTGCCCTCGGGTCCCTGTCTTCTGTGGCCTCCCCGCCTGCGTTCCCCCATCTCGGCTCCTAGCAACAGGCCTGCTCTGTCTTTCGTCATCTCTCTCTGAACCGAACAAAAAGCTCCTTTCAATGGTCCTCCATGGCAGTGTTCTGTAACAGTTAGGCCTGCTTCCCCCATTATAACAAGTAATGTACGCTCATTAAAGAAAAATCCAGTTAAGTAGGAAGATGGAATAAGGGGAAATAACTCCCTGTCCCATGACCTAAACCCAGCTTAGTTAACATCGCAGTGCCTTCTGGGAGGTGTTACGACTTGTTCATCTTGGAGTGCTTTCTTTTAAAAATTTCCTTCTAGCACTACCCGGTTTGGCTCAGTGGATAGAGTGTTGTCCTGTGGACTGAAGGGTCCCGAGTTCGATTCCGGTCAAGGGCACATGCCTGGGTTGTAGGCTCAATCCCCAGTGGGGGGTGAGCAGGAGGCAGCCAATCCATGATTCTCTCTCATCATTGATGTTTCTATCCCTCTCTCCCTCTCCCTTCCTTTCTGAAATCAATAAAAATATATTTTTATTGATTTCCTTCTAAATCTGAGCTCTCACGGCTAACCTTTGCAGACCCTTTGACAAAACAATTAATGCAATTTCTGCAGAGATTCTAACCTTAGTGCCTTCATTTCTGAAGTATCCAAATTTTTCTATGGGGGACCTATGTTGCTTTGGTAATCACAAAAATGTAACATCTGTGTTGTGGGCTGAACTGCGTCCCCCCAAATTCCCATGTGGAAATCCTAAGCCCCAGACCTCAGAACATGACTGTATTTGGAGGGAGATAGGGTCTTGAGAGAGTTTGGGAGACCCGATTCTGGACCCACACTTACCTGAGCTCAGCGGTTCAGATCCCAGCTCAGCTGTTTCTTCCTGTATTCAACGTTTCTCATCTGTAAAATGAGGGTCACAAAAGCATGGGGATGGGGACTCAATGAATGAATGAAGCCAAAGTGATACTTTTGAATGAATGTATCTAAACTACTCTGTCCAGTAGAGTAGCCACCAGCTGCACACACCTGCTGAACATCTGAAATGCTCATTTTTTAAAATAATTTTTATTTTTACCACTGAGCCACACCAGTTGGGCCTATTTCATTAAAAAAAAATGTTTAGCCCCAGCCAGTTGGCTCAGTGGATAGAGCATTGGCCTGAGGACTGAAGGGTCCTGGGTTCGATTCCTGGTCAGAGCACATGCCCAGGTTGCGGCTTGAGTCCCAGTAGGGGGTGTGCAGGAGGCAGTCGATCAATGATTCTCTCTCTCCCTCTCTCTTCTTCTCTGAAATCAATAAAATTTAAAAATAACTGAATAATTTTTATTTTTTAGTTACAGTTGATGCACAATATTATATTAGTTTCAGGGAGACAACCATGTGATTAGACATTGATATAACTTACAAAGTGATCACCCTAATAAATCTAGTACCCATCTGACATCATATATAGCTATTACAATATTGTTGACTATATTCCCTATGCAGTACTTTACATCCCCTTGGCGATCCTTGTTTCCTTTTAAAAAATAAAATAGCCCTAGTGGGTTTGGCTCAGTGGATAGAGCATTGGCCTTCGGACTGAATGGTCCCAGGTTCCATTCTGGTCAAGGGCATGTACCTTGGTTGCAGGCACATCCCCAGTAGGGGGTGTGCAGGAGGCAGCTGATTGATGTTTCTCTCTCATCAGTGTTTCTACCTCTCGATCCCTCTCCCTTACTCTCTGTAAAAATATTTTTAAAAATGAAATAAAAAAATAAAGAAGGAAAAAATAAAATAGCCCTAGTGTGTTTGGCTCAGTGCATAGAGCATCGGCCTGCGGACCGAAGGGTCCTGGGTTTGATTCCGGTCAAGGGCATGTACCTTGGTTGCAAGCATGATCCCAGGCCCCGGTCGGGGCACCTGCAGGAGGCAACCAATTGATGTGTCTCTCTCACATTAATGTTTTTCCCTCTTGATCTCTTCCCCTCCTTTCTTTTTTCATTTTTTTATTTTCAAAAATGTATTCCTTATTGATTTCAGAGAGAAAGGGGGGGAGAGAGAGAG